CAACCGAACCCTGAAACCATTATTGTTTCTTATGTCAGTGAAGATCACCAGAACTAGGACATTCACCTCCCCGAGTTATGTTTCGCCTTTAACACCTCCGTGCAGACCTCTACCCAGATGACCCCCGCGTTCGTGAACTTTAGTAGGATTCCGAGACCCGCGAAAAGTATTCGAGATCGAGCTCCCACCCCAGCTGTCATGGAAAAGACCGACCCTGCAGTCTGGAAGCACCGACTGCAGCGCCTCCCCTTTATCTATGACTAGGTAAAGAAGAACATGTCAGAGGCCTCAAAATGGCAAGCCCGTTACTATAATCGAGGAGAATCAGACTGCGAGTTCCAGATTGTAGACCCAATCCTCCGGAGAAATCGAGTCCTTTCGTCCGCATCCCAGAATTTTGCTGCGAAACTGTCCCCGAAATATCGAGCTCCATACACTATCACGAAGAAAATTTCCCCCGTGGTCTACGAGATCCCCGTCCCTTTAAAGAAAAAGTGGCCTAAAGTGCATGTGAAGGACTTAAAGCCCTATACGTCCCCTATGGAATTTCCCGAGGACCCACTGCGCATGAAAGACCCAGATCCCGAGGCCCAAGAAATTATTATGAAGGAATCGGCACCTGCATCATTGCCTCCCGTAGTCAAGGAACCTGAAAATCCCGATTCGCCTGAACTTCCCTCCAGCCCTGCTAATCCCACTGCACTAGCGTCAAAGACAAGGCCAAGAGGACGCCCGCACGGCAACAAAACCTCCCGTGGCCCCCTAAGACATGTAGCCCCTTCAAGTCAACAACAACGTTACGACCTAAGAACCCGAAGCCGCAATGCACCACACGAGCGGCCTTAATAGCGACTAAGTAATTAAATTTTATTCTTAGTTTTCTTTTGCATTTATTGGCATTATTTGCCGTTTATTCATACTTTTTTTTTCTTCTCTCTTCTTTTAATTTTTATTATGCCCTGGTTATTTGAGGTAGTATCATAGAGTAGTATGAATCAAGAGAAAGTAGGAGTAGAGATCCTAATCCAGCTTCAAGTAGTTTCTAAGAGTGGACCAGAGAGAGCCAAAATCAAGTGGAGACCCTCCCCGCGTTTACAAGAGTCCAATAACAGAGGTGACGGGAGAACCCTGCGCATGAGGGAGGCCCGATGGGCCACCATCGGTTACCTGCAAGGGCCATCGGAGCCTCTACCCCCGAGAACCCGCATGCCACCACCAGAGCCTCGATCCTCGAGGACCAGGACACTGCCTCCACAGCGAGAGGAGGACATCACCGCCGGGGGGAAGGAACTCCCCACCCCACCAGCTCCGTTCCTAATCCCGAGGCCCCAACTCCAGCCACTACTCCCCCGTAACCCACCCCCCCCGCCGGTTGGCCACCGAAATACTCACCCCCTGCGCCACAGAGGGAAGCATCAACCCCGCGGACCCCGGAAGTCAAGTTCCGGTGCTGGTCGTGTGGAGGCGCAAACTATCCGGGTGTCCAAACCAACTGGGGAAGAAGTAGGGCGGCGAAGACCCCTAACCTAAAAATGTGAACTATCCTAACTATGTTCGGAACGGTAGAATGATAAAGAAGACTGTCATTGTCAGTATACATTAATTTAGCTTGATTACCAAACGTTTTCTTTATGTAATTACAATGGAAGTCATAAATATATTTTTTAGAGAGATCGAGAATTGAAAATGCTCCATATATTGGCTTATTAAACTTAATTTTAACAAAATTTAGTTCGATTATATCCATATCTTCGTCGAAGACAGTGCAGCTATGGAAATTTAGTTTCGCTATAAGAGCCTTTGCTCCATACCTTCTATCCCTTTTCGTAATGGAAAGGAATGAATTGGAAGGTTTTTTTTATTTTTCACATTTCTTTTATTCCTAACTGAAATTATACACGGTAATTGAGAGGTTTAGGAGACAAAACAATAAGAGGGAAAAGTAAAAAAATTAACGTGAAAAAATCATTGAATTAAATAACCAATAAATAAATAAATTAACAAATGCAAAAGCAATACAAAATTAAACATTCGAAAAAAAATTGGTTTAATTAATAATTTAAAAAAACTTCTAGTATGCTCCATTGTCAGCACGGCGGAGCGTACGGTCCTGAGCGGTTGCCCCGCTACACGTCTCTCTGCACCTCGAGCGACGCACTACTCCACCACACGCACTAAGTAATTGTGCCCCCGATTTCCTCGAGCAAAACTCGCAAAATTTAGGGATAAAACCTTTACCATTTGAACGGGAAGGAAATTTCCTAAAAAACATATCTTTGGTTTTTGGAAATCGATTATAGTTTCACAGAAATACACAAAAATTCAAGTGTTCCACTTCAATTGGACGTTACTGTATATTGTTCTTTGTTTACTGGCAATAAGTTAATTGAACCCTCGAAGGATGTTGCTAAGGCTTTAATAAAAGAAATGTGAGTCATAAACAGGTAAGTTATGAAACACAACAGGAATGGTATGCGAGTTCTTATAATTTAAATTTCAATTCTGATGCACAGCACCTCGATATGTACCCGTAAAATGACAATGATCGCGATGCTTGACATCTCGAGATGTGAACGGTTTTTCACAAATGTGACAAGTATGTACAGATTCATTTTTCTGTTTGAAATTCAATGGTTCCATAGATACGTTGCTCTTAAAGTGTAAATCTATGAATTGAGCTAACTCTTTTAATTCGTTCACAAACCACTTTATACAATTATTTCCACGATTGGCTTTAAATTTTAAAATGGAGTCGTCAAAGTTACATTGTAGATAGTACGCGCTGCTGTGTGGAGCCTGCTTTTAATAGATCATTGTGTTTGACAATTTAGAAACATCCGTAAGTGGCTCTAAAATACACTCAATGTCAGCGTATACAGGGTGAATCACGAATCGTGATCAGTAGAGATTACTTTGTTATTAACATTCCGATCGAAAATGTTTTTATCAGCTTTTGCATGGTTTCAAGAGAGCTTTAACGTGATAGTGAAAAATTGCTGATCAACTCTTTTTTAAAGTGTTTTTTCAAGGTTACCTTGAATTTTTTGCAATTGAACATATAATTTTTTTACGCCTGTCTGTTAGAGGATTTCAAGACGAATTCGGCACATGTAAGGACATGACATTTTTTCATCTGGTTCGACAGAAAATTAAAAAACTTTGTATCACAAGGAGAATCACAGCTGTGCCGTTATTACGCAACCAATGTTGTTGACAAGTCAAACTTTACCAATCTTAATTGTAGCGATGTTCAAAATGGTGTCCACGAGCTGCAATGCACTCGCGTAGACGGTGAACAAAAGATTTTTTTGCATTCTTTATGGCCTCTACACTGATGGTTGAGCATGCATCCGCAATCCTTCGTCGCATATCTTCCGGTGTTGTTGGAGCATCTGCATAAACTTTGTCTTTTAATGTACCCCACAAAAAGTAATCTAATGGAGTAAGATCGGTAAGTAATTTTGACTTATCAACAACATTGGATGCGTAATTACGGCGTAGCTGTGATTCTCCTTGTGATACAAAGTTTTTAAATTTTCTTTCGAACCAGATGAAAAAATGTCATGTCCTTACATGTGCCGAATTCGTCTTGAAATCCTCTAACAGACAGGCGTAAAAAAATTATATGTTCAATTGCAAAAAATTCAAGGTAACCTTGAAAAAACACTTTAAAAAAGAGTTGATCAGCAATTTTTCACTATCACGTTAAAGCTCTCTTGAAACCATGCAAAAGCTGATAAAAAGGCAACCTTGAAAAAACATTTTAAAAAAGAGTTGATCAGTAATTTTTGCGGTCAACGAAGAACTGCGGTGACGGTCCAGAGAAAGCAAAACGGATCACTATTTCTAATGTTCACAACTGCTTTTGCTTCCTCATAAAGGAAGCTATGTTTTCATGAAAAAATTATTTTTCGAGATTTTCATGTTAGAATACTTAACATGGTCTAAAACGTCAAGAAAAGTAGTTTAGAAAAAATGTCCGTATGTATGTATTGTGACGTGATTTATCGAATCACGGTCCCAAGGCGGCTCCGGTTACCGATACAAATAACGTTCTCGATTTCTGGTTCTCTTCAAGTCGCCACCCTGCTCAGAAGCTACGCTCTCGGGTTGATTCGTACAGTTATGTCAAGGCTCTCGTAAGATTGTGTCAGTGTTTAGTTGAGGTCGAGGTGCTCGAATCTGCCGTGGGGAGATAGTCTCGACGTACCGAGTTGCCCGGCAGAGGAGAGTACCCGACGGAGACGTCTCCACGGACCGGCAGAAGCCCGGGTGAGATACCGGCGCCCCGCTGGAGATGGGCAAAGGGCTGTAGAGTGGACGGAGGTAGTTTTGATACGGTTAAGGGCAGGAGAGGAACCTCCTGCCCGAGTTAAGGATGTGGTGCCCAGCTGTCGCCCGATGCCCTGGGGAAGCGGCCGTGAGGGATCTCCAAAAATTACGTATGTATCCACACTTTGGAAACTGTAATAAATGGCAACAGTAGATGTAATTACATTTTTTTAAACTAATAGTCAGATCCGACGTGATGAGAACTTGAGACTATTTGACTTATGCACACACGAGAATTTTGCGCCAGAAATGGCTCATCCCTAAAATGAGCAGAGACCATTACGCGTGCTAGCGTCGCTTAGCGTATTTTTTGAATACATATTTCTTGCTCCCTGAGTAGCACTTATATTCATTTTTATGTATAATTTTGCTAAATGATCTTATAAGTACTTATCTAGGAATGGCAAAAAAAGATTTAGCTCTGAATGCTGCTACCGTGGCTACTATGAACACAACACCGCGTACTTTGTGACGACGGCAGCGAAAGTGTTAATATTTACTTACTACAGTCTTTACAGCAAAAATATATTTGCTATTAAATAATGTCAAAGAGAAATAAGAAAAGATAGAGTCAGTATAATTATGAAAATCTTATACAAAAGTGTGTAAAATCATAGGAATGCTTAGCAATCGCATGCGTATAGATTGTACATTAGGATAATACATACCAATCTTTGACGTGTAGCCATAGAAATTAATGAAAGCATAGATACGAAGACAGTTGGGCACACGTAGAGAAAGAGTAACCAGGCAGGTCTGGCATACCAGCTCATAACTTTTCCGAACTCAGTTAAGATCAGACCAATTAATGTGACCGTGAACATTGATGCAAGCCATGAACCAATTAGTGTGGCCATGCATATCATTAATTGTTTCACGTACATTGAGCTTTTAACCTCTGGATAACAAATAGATACAAGTCAATTAAAGTGATGCAGACATTGTAATTGTTGAAACTAAATCATTCTAATTGGTACATACAAGTTGGTCCACATAAGGCGGTTTCACTTTTTAATCTTTGTAATTGAGGCTCATATTTAACGAATCTTGAAAGGCAACTCCTAGACAGTTAAAGATTTTGTAAAATGCCTCTAAACAAATACACATCAAAAAGCAGATTTTAGGTGGGCCAGGAATCACTAGTATTCTAGAATTCTATAAATCACAACCGTTTCAAGTCTCACGAAATTGTCTTTTTGAAGCATTGAACGTTATCGTTTTTCCATATTCGGACAGTTCAGTAATTAAAATATAAAAGTACATAAATTTACCATGACATATCGTTACCAATATCACTGAACAAACACACCATACTCTCTCATTTTCAGAAAATAAATTTAGGGCACATATCATTTTGAATCCAAAAGTAGCAAATATATGGAAGTTTAACTGAGTTTATGTAAGAGGTTTGATCTTCTCCTAAAGCTCAGCCCATCAGACCAATTGATTTAGCATTGTTTAGCATATATTTATTGCTTGTTATAGCAAATGCATGAGAGACGAAGTCCCGGCGTGGCAGTGGCAAAAAGTGAAGAAGTCCAACAACACACCGAAAATTGATATTGAAATATTCCTCCCTGTCTTCCTTCCCTTCCTTAATGAAAATAGTATAATAACGAGGGATATTTTACGCAAATAATAAATAATTACGTCCGGTGCGATGTAATGAAAACTCGGTGTTAAAATCACGTAATTTGGCAGTTTTACGAATCTAAATTAAAAAACAAATTGTTCAAATTACTTTAATTATTAAAAATATTGCGATTTAATTTACAATCATTTGATATGTAGTCGGCTTAAACTTATGTTTAGAACTTCGTAGGTTATGTAAAAGAACTCTTTACACTTGACAATAATTCTAGTACTTGCAAACATGCAAATTGCATTTCTTTAGAGGAATTAAGATAGAGAATTAATACCAAATTTTGAGTTTCATGTTCTTTCGCTTAAAATATATTCGTATTTTTATTTCACAATATATAGTCATTTCGATGCATAAAGCTTCCAAGATCTATATATATAATTATATATAAAACACTATTAATAAATTTATGCAGTTTATATTAATTAAGAAATCTAGTAAAAGTAAGCAGATATTACTTGGCTCTACAATTTTTTGTTTTTATAATTGCTTTGCATATATTTATCTTTGCACTATATGACACTAAATCACGTTTAGCATGTATGAGAGTCAGTCACCTTAGGTGGCCCATCTTGTATAAAAACTATCTGAGTCATTATAATATACATTTTTTTTTTATAAGAAAGCAATATCTAAATTACTAATGACTCAATGTCAAATGAATTGGAGAATACGTGACATTTATGCTTTTTTAATTGACTGAAAATCTTACCTCTGCGAGCAGTTGCTGCATTCAAGTAAATAGAGTAGACTCCTATACAAATGCTAATAAGATTAACAATGCTTGCCATGTATTGTGGCCAACGGATAACAAATGCGCCCAAGAAGTCGAAGAATACAAGATTTCCACCAGAAAATTCAACTAGTGGATCAGATAAATAATGGCTTGATGTAATTCCATGAGCTAAAGCTAAGATGTTATCACCAGTGCGCTGTAATGACCCCAATGGTATTTGATCAACAGTGTCAAATCTTGTATGATACACGTAGCCATTCGTCGACCAGGCAAAATCAAGACCTAAATTACAAAAGGAGTTCTCAATTCTTGGAATACATAATAAAAGGATACATTATATATGGAAACAATCCCTTACGGAAATATACTATTGAACTCGCAATAGTTATTGTTAAGATTTAACAGTAACTATTCATTGTCAATAGTGCGTAATGTTGAAAAACCGTAGTAACTATTGGGAAGATTACCATTCAATAGTAGTTACTAATGGTGTGCAACAGTAACTACTAGGACGTTATTATTCTCAGTAGTTACTGTTGAACGTCACTAGTAATTACTATCAGTGGACAAAAGTAACTATACAGGACATTTTTATTGATAATACTAACTACTATTAGCGTATCGTAGACAGTGTTATTCAGATAGTTATTATGTGGCTCAGTTATTATTAAACTTTAATAGTGATTAATGTTAGAAAATAAACAAAGTATTTGAGTGTAGTTATTACTTGGCTCAAATTGTTTTGAGCATTTAAAACACTCATTTCTCGAATCTCTTAGTTTGCTGACTGTCTTATTACTCTAATTCGAGTCTATGAGAACCTACAGGCCGAACTTGGAGGTTTAATACTAAGTTTGACTCTTTCAGGAGCACATTTTTTGAAGGGGGATCTATTGCCATTCTCAGCAATACTTTATGTTTTACGGGTCGCTGATTACGATTTTGATGTGTAATATGTATTTTGACAGCTGTCAGCTATCAATCCAACTGCCAACTCACTAAATATACAATGTTTTATGAAGGCAACTATTATAATTCGTGTTTTACAGGGCCCTGATCATGAATTTCATTTAAGAAATATATTTTCGGCGTTTTACAGCTGTCAAAAAATATTTTTAATATTGAAATCATAATCAGCGATCTCGAAAACATATAAATAGGTATTCATATCATATCATAACCTGCAAAATTACATGTGAACCATTTTTTTATCAGGTTTTTAATTGTCATTTATTTATAACTAATTGTTAATAAACAACAAATTGCGAAATTCAGTAAAAATGGTTACAGAAGCACCTCAGTGATATAAAACAATTAAATTTGCCCAGGCAAAGTGCAAAGTATAAAAAATATTGGAATTGCAATGAAAAAAAAGGTGATACATATACAGTGAAACCTCGTTTAAGTTGACTCGTAAGAAATGTAAACATCTCGATCATGTTGACTCAGGAGGGAATCCCACCACTACGCAGTTCCCCGCTTGCGATTATTGTGATTGGCTGATGCGCGTCACTATACAATTACATTCTCCCTCCCTCATTACTCGGGGCAGCTGCTTGAGAATTAGGTGGCGGCGCGGCAGTCAACATAAACGAAAGGTATCGCGTAAACTTAAACGCGAGTAACCTTTTCTGAGAGTTAACTTAAACGAGGTTTCAGTGTATGTACACTGCGGGACATTAATGCCATCCTTGGGTGGAGCTAGTAGGAAGCGTGAGTGGGGCGGCCGGCAGTGGTGACTGGTGGCGAGCAAGCCAGGTCGACGCGTAGAGAGGGTAGCGTATTCCCCTCGCTTGGGACGTCATTTATGTCCCGAGCCCAGGCGTTCCGTATAAGAGTGTCTCACTAAATTTCAACATGAGTCCGCATAAGGCCCTCTCACTCGCAGTTAGTGGAGTCCCAGAGATAGCCTCCACTGCGTATAAGAGTGTCTCACTTGCGTCTAGCGCGAGTCGTTCATAAGACCCTCTCACTCGCAGTTAGTGGAGTCCCAAAGATAGCCTGCACTGCGTATAAGAGTGTCTCACTTGCGTCTAGCACGAGTCGCCCATAAGGCCACCATTGGCAGCGAGTGAATGGTTCTTATGGGCGACTCGCGCTCGACGCAAGTGAGACGCTCTTATACGCAGTGCAGGCTATCTCTGGAACTCCACTAACTGCGATTGAGAGGGGCTTATGCGGACTCATGTTAAAATTCTGTGAGACACTCTTATACGGGACGTCTGGACTGTGGACAGACATGCCGTCTCAAGCGCGGGGAATAGGCTACCCTATCCACGCGTTGGCCTGGCTTCCTCGCCACCAGTCGCCACTGCCGGCCGCCCCACTCGCGCTTCCTACTAGCTCAACCCAAGGACGGTATTAATATCCCGGAACGTACAACCGCCCCTGAAAGGGTTAACAAGTGCTTCTAATACTGATTAAGAGCCGAAGATATTACAAAATTGTTTACCACTAATTTAGACCTTATTGTTTCATAATTCTAAAGAATAGTCAAAGTTTTTAAGTTTGAACAAAACTTGTCCAGTACGCGGCAAGACTCGGTTATGTCTAATTTCATCATGCATACACGAAATGAATACTATCTATGACGTAGAAAGACTGTAGCAGAAAGACTGTACATATGCATATTATGAGATAGGACAAGTAGTTACCAAAAATACACATATATCAATATAATATTAACAGGATTATACTCATTAAAATACCTTAATTTAACTTAATTTACTACATTCAAATACAATTCGAAGTTGTTAATTTATATTACTGATTTGTATTATTCACTTCGCAATCCTCTTGTACCTTCAAGTAAAAGTAACAACGCTTTCGAAATTCTGCTAAAGTAGTAGCAGACGTTATATCCGGAGGTAACGAGTTCCAGAATTGTATGCAGGAAATGATGAAAGATTTTTGAAATGCGACTGTACGGGCAGCAGGGACATGAAGTGTATCTGTGCGAAGAGGATTACGACGCGAAATCATGTTATCACGAAGTCTAAGTTGATCCGCAAAAAGTCCTGATTGGCCCAAATGTAGCGCTTTATAGAAGGCGCATCCTAACAGCTGTAATCGTCTGTTTCGTGGGTTAAGCCAGCCACAATTACGTCTGTGATGTGATATGCTCAAATGTCTGGGCACCCTCAATAGAAACCGAACGCAGTTGTTTAGCGATACTAATAGCGCGCGTTCATGTTCACAAGACAGATTCGTAAGTGCTGTTGAACAATAATCGTAAAACGGAAAGACTAGAGCAGTGATAAGGCGACGTTTGGTGGAAACACTCAAATTGTTATCGTTAATGCGGATCCTATAGAGTGCGCCAGATGCTTTTTTCTTTATATGATTCACATGTAATGACCACGATAAAGTGTTATCAAGAATAACTCCCAGATATCTTAATGACTCTACTAGTTCAATTGCCTTACCTTCTAGTGTAAGCTTTAAGGCAGTGTTATAACGCAACTTATTTATGTATTTAGAACTTCCGAAAAACATTGCCTTGGTCTTCGTTGAATTTAGTTGTAGTTTATTCGTTCGGCACCAATTAGATATACTATCAATGTCCTTGTTAATCAGGCAGATATTTTCATCAATCTCAGCTGGTGGACATTTTAGGTAAATTACCAGATCATCCGCGTAAAGTAAATGAGAACAATGCGACAGACACTGTGGCAGGTCATTTATGAATAGTGTGAAAAGTAGGGGACCAAGTACACTGCCCTGAGGAACACCAGATCTTAAGTGAAGCCACTCTGAGGACCCACCACCCGTTTCACGGACCGATTGCATGCGACCGCAAAGGTAGGAATGAATCCAACGTAGTACTTCTAACGAGAAGTTAAGATTACAAAGTTTTCTCAGCAATAATAAATGATCGACATTATCAAATGCTTTGGAGAAATCCAAGAACACTGCAATAGTGACCATTCGATCATCAATTCCTTTACGAATATCATCCACTAGTCTCAGGACAGCAGTCTGGGTTCCCAATCCCTCTCTGAATCCTGTCTGACGTGGGCAAAGCAAGTTATGAGTTCTAAGAAACAGCATAATTTGGTCAAATACTACACGTTCCAGTATCTTTGAAATAGCACAGAGTAAGGAAATAGGGCGATAGTCCGAGCACACCGAAGGATGGCTTATCTTAGGTAATGGATTTATTAGAGAATATTTCCATAGTGATGGGAAAGTTCCTTTTGACAAAGAGCAATTGAAGATCAAAAGAATGATAGGCATTAGTAAGGAACTAAATTTTTTGTAGGTTTGAATGGGGAAACCATCGACACCTTGCACTCTTGTAGCAATTTTCCCTATCGCTTCCCTATCGCTAAAACATGCATTCCTCAGTATCTATCAAATCAGTAACAGATAAGGAAGTATCGACACATTTTAAGAATACAGGTAGCATCTCATTAGTAGATACAGACGCAAAATGTAAATTTAGTGAGTGTGGCGAGACATGCTCCGGAAATTCATGGGCTACGGTTCGTGTAATACCTAACTTATCTATTTCTCTCCAGAAAAGTCGCACATTCTTCGTATCGTTAAACTTAGAATTGAGATAATTAGACTTAGCGGCCCCAAGTTTCTTTTTGAACTCCCGCCGAAGCTCAACATATTTTGCAAATACAGTGTGTGAGCCAGATCTTTTAGCAGCACGGTAGCATGCGTCTCTTTCCTTCATAAGGCTACGTAAACTTATAGTAAACCATGGCGCTGGTGAACATTTTACCGTGACTTCCTTTACCGGAACAGCACAATCAAGAACATCATTTAATAAACAATTAAACGCCGTTAGTTTATGATCAATATCCGGTAGATTTTCAAACAGTGAGAAATCAAACGAGGAAACAATTCGAGCCGCTTCCTCCAGGTTTGCTTCATCCCAGGAGCGGTAACAGAAAGTTCTAGGAGCACAGCGAGCAACAATATATTTAAAAGAGACAAATATTAGATCGTGCCCAGATAAAAAAGGTTGGGCAGATTGCCCCCATGAGACCAGCGAATTGAAATCGGTAGCTGCACAGATATCTAGCCAGGTGTGAGAGTCTTTCGTATGGTGAGTAGGCTGATAAGGAATCAAATAAAGATCTTGTGATTTAAGAAAACTTCTCAGGTGTTCAGCATCATATGTGTTAGAAAGCAAGTCTGCATTAAAATCACCGAGGATAAATGCAAACTTATATCTAGACACAGTAGCTGCAAACTCTTCTTCGAAGATGTCTATGAAGCCGATTTTCGGAGGCCTGTACACAACAGCTATCAGCATCTTTGATCGAGCAGGACTCCAAACTTCAGCTAGTAGATATTCCGGCACTCCATCTCGTTCCAAGGAGGCTGATGTGTCCACTATATGCGAGCAGAGTCCATTCCTCAGGAAAAGTGCAACCCCTCCTCCGTGACGTCCTCTACGATCAACCCGTAAAATGGAGTAGCCCGTGAGGGCTATCTGTTTATCAGTGATGCAGTCATTAAGCCAAGTTTCGGTGACAGCGATAATGTGATACTGATTTATACGAAAAAACTCCCGAAATTCATCAATATGCGCAGGTAGTGATTGTGCATTTAAACAACAGATGTTAAGTATTGAATCGGATGAAACATGCAAGGTCTGTGAAGGGAGAGAGAGAGAGAGAGAGAGAGAGAGAGAGAGAGAGAGAGAGAGGATAATATCAGTATATAGAATAAAAGAGAATAAATAATCGACCTGATCACGACTGGTTGTATGCGCGATAGATCAATGGTATACATTTGTATAGATCGTATGATCTACGATCTAGCTAGCGGCATTGTCTTAATTGCATCCTGATCAATAGATCCAACCAGTAGAACCGTATGAATTGAACTTCTAATGGCTTCTAGATCCTTAAGAAAATTCTTCCTTTAACCAATGTAGAATTTAAATTGTGACTCCTTACTATTCCGATAGACTAATTATTATAGAATATAAGTTTTTCATGAAAACTTTCCCAACCTACATTGCACGTCGAAGTTATACCTGATACGATAATGGCGGTCGAGCAAATCGAGGATGAATGCGGCTGATCGTGACGATTTCAAGTCCGAAGTTCGGATTCTTACGAATTCTGTTGAGGAAATCGCCCGTAAAATGGCTACCGCGAAAGGCCACGAGCGAGAAGGAGAGAGTAGAGGTCTGCGACGACAGAGAGGCCTTTCTTTGTTCGGTGCTAGCCTCTCGGCCGGAATCGGCTGGTCCTTTTTCCCGACCAATGAGCGTTGGCAGGAGCGAAAGAAAGGATGCAGGAATGCATGGATTCCTTTCACCCTCGTGCCGCCGTTTCTGGTGGTAATACCGGTGGTGATCGGAGTCCAGGATAAATTATGAATTTGTAGAAAGTTTAATCCTGGGTCATTATTCAGAAAGATGCATAAGGACTGTTACGAAGAAAGACGCAATGAAAATTAATGACCATTGCAGTGGTATAAACTTTGTTCAATTATATTTACGTTTAGAAGTAATATTTTTTTATCTAACGGTTTTTTTATCTATTTAAAATCACTGTCAAAGTCCCATTCGACAAGACTTCAGGATCTAGCAGCATCGAGTATCCGCCCATTACGTTTTCACTGTACTGCTGGATCTAGGGATACAAATGCTTTTTCATTTTGATATTTCATGTGTACGTTATTAGACAGACGGTACAAAATATTACGACATAGCGGAAGCACAGTCAATACCAACGTCACACATTCCACACTGATGACTATTGACCGAAGATGATTCTATCGGTTTATCGATATGCACAACTCGACACTTCCAGGTTTGCTTCATCCCAGGAGCGGTAACAGAAAGTTCTAGGAGCACAGCGAGCAACAATATATTTAAAAGAGACAAATATTAGATCGTGCCCAGATAAAAAAGGTTGGGCAGATTGCCCCCATGAGACCAGCGAATTGAAATCGGTAGCTGCACAGATATCTAGCCAGGTGTGAGAGTCTTTCGTATGGTGAGTAGGCTGATAAGGAATCAAATAAAGATCTTGTGATTTAAGAAAACTTCTCAGGTGTTCAGCATCATATGTGTTAGAAAGCAAGTCTGCATTAAAATCACCGAGGATAAATGCAAACTTATATCTAGACACAGTAGCTGCAAACTCTTCTTCGAAGATGTCTATGAAGCCGATTTTCGGAGGCCTGTACACAACAGCTATCAGCATCTTTGATCGAGCAGGACTCCAAGACAGGGACAGGGACAGGGACAGAGACAGGGACAGAGACAGGGACAGAGACAGGGACAGGGACAGGGACAGCGACAGAGACAGAGACAGGGACAGGGACAGAGACAGAGACAGAGACAGAGACAGAGACAGAGACAGAGACAAAGGCATCCCCTTTCAGCGCAGTGCCGAAAAGCGGTTTCGGCGACTTTTGCGTCGAGGTTAATTCCAGGAAAAACGATACCCTTCCCATGCAGATTTCGGACGGCAGGCGACTCGACCTCGAACGTTATCTCACAGTGGTCGCGCGTCAGCCTCCTCATCCCACTGAGAGACTTCGAAAATCCCCCATACCCAATTCGTCAGCCTCCTCATCCCACTGAGAGGCTTCGAGAATCCCCCATCCCCCGATTCGTCAGCTTCCTCATCCCACTGAGAAACTTCGCGAATTCCCCATCCCCCAGCCTCGTGCGAGAGCACCGGCGAGTTCAAAGTCATTCTAGAATTATCTATGTATCGGTTGTTCGAATGCGCAATACCGAACGTCATCTCGCAGAGTCGTGCGTCGAGAATGCGGTCCCTCATCCCCCCGAGGTGTCAAATTACTCGTAAGCGCGCGCGCGACGCAACTTCGTCGTCGGAGGAGGGCTAAGGAATATCCCGGAAGATGCATGAACCTTGACATCGAATCCAGGAATCTCTGTAGGCGATTCGATTCCTTGAAATCTGCGAAACCTCCCATCCCCATTTTAGCCCTTGAGACTTTCCTAAGAACTGTCACAAAAAATCTGAGGTATAGGGTTCCAATGACAAGAATAATTCTCCATACAGGTTCATTCGAAATTTTATTGATTACAGCAGTATGTATTTGAGCGAATAAGGATGACTTGTTATCTGCTTGCTCGATTTCCTCTTTCAGATCCTTCTGTTTGACCTTGATTCGAGGTTGTATTGCCAGAAGAGTCTCCCGCGGCGTTATCACGATTTGGTCGTGCAGAATTTTCCTTCATTCCGAATAATGTGTTGTTATCGAAAGTGATACGATCGCGTCTTTCAGGTAGATCCGCGCTCCGTACCCATTCGTGGTACCGGTCTCGTCGAAACTGTTCTCTCGCCCTCATGGCTCATTCTCGTTCTCGTTCTTTCCCATGCGAATGCCCCATTTTTAGGTTAAGTTTCACAGATGCT